CTAGGTGAGTTACCTGGGCGTCTTCCCCGTTCCAACTTCACCACCTGTTCTTCCCTGTCAGCAAGGAGAGAGAGAGAGAGAGAGAGAGAAGGAGGAGGAAAAATAAACAACTCTTCACAACACAGTCCCTCCCCAGCTGTGGTAAGTCTTACCTCTGTCAACTAAACAACACACCAGGTATACTCTCTCTCCAGTACTTGAGCCTGAACTGGGCGGCAATGACCAAAGGACCTGCGTGTGACAGTATAATGGTGGGTGGCAGAGTGGGTGGTGAGGTCTGGAGTAGGTAGAGGGACAGGGAGGAGGGGCAAAGGAGCGTGCAAGGGGTAGGGGAGAGTACGGTGGAGGGACGAGGAAGAGGCGTATGAGAGGCAGGGAAGGGGGTGTAGGAAGGACAGAGGAGGGAGGTGGAGGGCTGGAGGGCAGAATGAGTGGGTGGGGCTTGGATGACTGCAGGGGCGGCAGGGCGGCGAGGTGTGGGATAGGTGGAGAGACAGAGTGTAGAGGGCGGAGGGCTAGACTAAATTGGAAGAGCGTCGGGCCAGGATGAGTGGAGGAGGGCAGCCAGGGTGGATGGTGTGAAAGGTCGGCAGGGTGGGATGAGCGGAGGGCAGCTGGGCTGGGTGGTGAAGGGTGGCATGGCAGGCAGGCACAGAGGCATTCGACCGCTCTTGTGTGTGGCTTCCTAACACTCAGTCACAGGGCCCTGGAGGGAGGCACACTGGGCGCATTACCCTCTGACGCCGGCAACAGGGACTTTGATGCGCAGCGCGAGGCCCTTGGTGAGCGGGGAGAGGGACTTTTGTGAGCAAGTGAAAAGGACGAGGTGAGAGGGATTTTAAATATGAGAGGAGGTATAGAGTACAAGTGAGGAGGATTTGATTACGCAGGTGAAAAGAACCTGAGGAGGGGGACTTATGAGAGGGACTTTAAAGGTGTACAGTTTAGAGAGGAGGATTTTAATGCATAGGTGAGTGGGATATCAGTGAGAGTGAGAGGGTTTACTGCACAGACAGAGAGAGAGAGAGAGAGAGACAGAGAGAGAGAGAGAGAGAGAGAGAGAGAGAGAGAGAGAGAGAGGAGAGAGAGAGAGAGAGAGAAACTTTACTGGGCAACTGGGTGGGGTTATGCGCAGGTGAGAGCAGGTTTAGGACGCAGCAAAGAGAGGTTTTGATGCCCTGGGTAAGAGAGGCGGTGTTAAGCACATTATGGCCACAAGGGTAAAGTTGTAGTACGACTGTTGGGTCAGGCTCAACCCTGCCACCACCAACACCACCACTGCCACCGCCACCACCACCACCACACCAACACCACCACACCACCTGCCAACAACACCACATCACCACCACACCACCACCACATCCACACCACATCACCACCTCCACCACCACTACCTCCACCACCTGCCTGCACCATAACCAGTGACCTACACCTGCCACTACACATCAACCACCACCAACACCACCACTACACACCACCACCACACCCCACCAAAACTACGGCCCACATGACGGTAATGGTTGACCAGTAACAGCAACTTCAAGTAGAACACTAACACTGGGTCAGTTGTTACAGGCACCGCTTACTGTAACACCGGGTCAGGCGTTACAAGCGGAGGATGCGACTGTATCATGAGGTCCCCAAAATAAAAATGACCTACACATGATCTGAAGAATTAAGACTTGTTCCAGGAAGTTGAGGAAGACTGAGCCAGGAGGAAGTTGAGGAAGACTGAGAAAGGAGGAGGTTAAGGAAGACTGAGCCAGGAGGAGGTTAAGGAAGACTGAGCCAGGAGGAAGTTGAGGAAGACTGAAAAGGAGGAGGTTAAGGAAGACAGAGCCAGGAGGAGGTTAAGGAAGACTGAGCCAGGAGGAAGTTGAGGGAAGACTGAGAAAGGAGGAGGAGGTTAAGGAAGACTGGAGCCAGGAGGAGGTTAAGGAAGACTGAGCCAGGAGGAAGTTGAGGAAGACTGAGAAAGGAGGAGGTTAAGGAAGACTGAGCCAGGAGGAGGTTGCGAAGACTGAGTCCAGGAAGAAGTTGAGGAAGACTGAGAAAGGAGGAGGTTAAGGAAGACTGACAGGAGGAGGTTAAGGAAGACTGAGCCAGGAGGAAGTTGAGGAAGACTGAGAAAGGAGGAGGTTAAGGAAGACTGCCAGGAGGAGGTTAAGGAAGACTGAGCCAGGAGGAAGTTGAGGAAGACTGAGAAAGGAGGAGGTTAAGGAAGACTGAGCCAGAGGAGGTTAAGGAAGACTGAGCCAGGAGGAAGGAGGAAGACTGAGAAAGGAGGAGGTTAAGGAAGACTGAGACAGGAGAAGGTTAAGGAAGACTGAGACAGGAGGAGGTTAAGGAAGACTGAGCCAGGAGGAAGTTGGAGGAAGACTGAGAAAGGAGGAGGTTAAGGAAGACTGAGCCAGGAGAGGTTAAGGAAGACTGAGCCAGGAGGAAGTTGAGGAAGACTGAGAAGAGGAGGTTAAGGAAGACTGAGCCAGGAGGAGGTTAAGGAAGACTGAGCCAGGAGGAAGTTGAGGAAGACTGAGAAAGGAGGAGGTTAAGGAAGACTGAGACAGGAGAAGGTTAAGGAAGACTGAGACAGGAGGAGGTTAAGGAAGACTGAGCCAGGAGGAAGTTGAGGAAGACTGAGAAAGGAGGAGGTAAGGAAGACTGAGCCAGGAGGAGGTTAAGGAAGACTGAGCCAGGAGGAAGTTGGAGAAGACTGAGAAAGGAGGAGGTTAAGGAAGACTGAGACAGGAGAAGGTTAAGGAAGACTGAGACAGGAGGAGGTTAGAAGACTGAGCCAGGAGGAGGTTGAGGAAGACTGAGCCAGGAGGAACTTTGGAGGAAAGACCCAGGAAACCTACCAAGGAAACTTCAGAAAGGTGCAGTAAGAGTGAGTCGCCTGAGGGGAGGAGAGGGACGTCTGATGGGGAGAGAGAGAGAGAGAGAGAGAGAGAGAGAGAGAGAGAGGGGTAGGTAGGGGAGGAAAGGAGTTAGGTAGTGAGGTAGGCAGGAGGAAAGAAGGGGGGAGGGAGGAAAGTAAGGGGGGCAGGGAGCAAGGAGCAATGGAGGCAGGGAGAGAAGCAGGGAGAGGGGCAGGGAGAGAGGCAAGGAGAGGGGGGAGAGGCAGGGGAGAGGAGCAGGGAGAGGAGCAGGAGAGGGGCAGGGAGAGGAGCAGGGAGAGGGGCGGGAGAGGAGCAGGAGAGAGGGGCGGGAGAGGGGCGGGGAGAGGAGCAGGGAGGAGGGCGGAGGAGCAGGAGAGGGGAGCAGGAGAGGCAGGGAGAGGAGCAGGAGAGGGGCAGGGAGAGGAGCAGGGAGAGGGGCGGGGAGAGGAGCAGGAGAGGAGCAGGAGAGGAGCAAGGAGAGGGCAGGGAGAGGGGGCGGGGAGGAGCAGGGAGAGGGGCAGGAGAGAGGTAGGGAGAGGAGCAGGAGAGGAGCAGGGAGAGGGGGGGAGAGGGCGGGAGAGGGGCAGGAGAGAGTTAGGGGAGAGGAGCAGGGAGAGGGGCAGGAGAGGAGCAAGGAGAGGAGCAGGAGGAGCAGGGAGAGGGGCAGGAGAGGAGCAGAGAGAGAGAGAGAGGAGGCAGAGAGAGCAAGGAGAGGAGCAAGGAGAGGAGCAAGGAGTCAGGTAGGGAAGCAGAGAGTTTTAAGTCAGGAGGTAAGGAGGGGTTGCAGGCCGGTCTGGCTAGACTGCGACGGCCCACAACAGGAGGTCCCATTACGAGCGAGAAAGATGTCTTTGCTTACGGCCTACTAACCACTAAATTCCAGAAAGTGAAAACTCTCGCGTGGGTGTTGCTGGCAGCGCTGGATCCGCCCCTGGCAATTATACAGACCATCACTCAGTGGGCTACAAGCGTGGATACCACCCACCACCCACCCGCCTGCCCACGCACCCACCCACCCACCACCACACCGTCTCTGCTATGATGGTTGCACCCTGCCCTGACCATCCGTTCACCTAACCAACCGTTCACCCGACCACCCTCCCGTTCACCCAACCATCAGTTCACCCAACCACCTGTTCACCTGACCACCCGTCCTCCCGTTCACCCAACCATCCCTTCACTAACCACCCGTTCACCACCTGACTACCCGTCCTCCCTTCACCTAACCATCCGTTCACCTAACCACCCGTTCACACCTGACCACCCGTCCTCCCGACCAACCGACAACCCAAACCTCTCCAACGACATGCCTTGTATCCTGCTCACACCACCACCCCTACCACAACCACAGTCACCCTAGGTTGAAGAAGAAGTAGGTTAGGTTAGGTTACGGATTTGTCTCGGGATTATTTTTTTCTTTTTTTGTGGGGGGGGTGGAGGAAGGGGTGGGAGGAAGGGGTGGGGGAAGGGGGGGGGAAGGGGTGGGGAAGGGGGGGTGGGGGGAAGGGGTGGGGGAAGGTGGGGGAAGGGGTGGGGGGAAGGGGGGGGGGGAAGGGGGTGGGGGGAAGGGTGGGGGGGAAAGGGTGGGGGAAGGGGTGGGGGAAGGGGTGGGGGAAGGGGGTGGGGGAGGAAGGTCATGATTTAGTGTCTAGGATGTGAGGGAAATATTCAGAGTGGAGAGGGAGGAGAGGAGGGAGAGGTGAGGAGAGGGGTGAGGGAGAGGAGAAGCATTAAGGAGAGGGCTGACACGGGTAAGAGTCAGGGGATTTAGATGGGATGCGAGAAGGAGAGGGAACGGAAGAGGAGGAAGAGGAGGGGTGAAGCTAGGGAACTGGGGAGAGAGAGAGAGAGACGATGGATTAAAAGAGAAGAAGAAGAAGAAGAGAACGAAGTGTAAAAGGAGGAAGACGAGGGGAAGAAGGGAAGAGGGCGCTAATAGAGAGAGAGAGAGAGAGAGAGAGAAGAGAGAGAGAGAGAGAGAGAGAGGAGAGAGAGAGGAGAGAGAGGAAGGAGGAAGGGAGGGAGATGAAAGGTAACAAAATATGTTGAGGAGAATCAAGAGAGAAAACCTTCAACGATGGTCTTAAAGAGAGTAAGAGGGAGGAAGAGGAGAACGAGGAAGAAGAGGAAGAGAAGCAAGGGGAAGAAGAGGAAAGGGAAGAGGAAGAAGAAGAGAAGGAAGACGAAGGGAACGAAGGGAGAAGGAGGGGAAAAGAGAACGAGGAGGAAGAGGAAGGGAAGTAAGGGAAGGAAGAGGAAGAAGAAGAGGAGAGGGGAGGAGGAGGAGGAGGAGGAGGGAAGAAGAGGAGGAGGTAGTGGTGGTGATAGTAAGGGTGGGGAGGGCATGTTATCGGACGGTCCAAGCGGTGTGTTGGCTAGATAACAGCGGACGAGTGCACCCGACCAGACTACAACCACCACCAACCACCACCACCAGACCAACACCCAACACCACCACCACCAAACCACCACCAACCACCACCACGACTACAACCACCACCACCAACACAACCACCACCAACCACCACCACACCAACTACAACACCACCACCACCACCACCACCACCACCAACAAACCACCACCACCACCACTACTACCACTACTACCACTACAACGACTACTACTACCACCACCACCACCACTACTACCACCACCAACCACCACCACCACCACCACCACCACTACCCACACTACCACACACGACTACTACTACCACCACCACCACCACCACTACCACCACCACCTCACCACCCACCACCACTACCACTACTACCACTACCACGACTACTACTACCACCACCACCCACCACCACCACCACCACTACCACTACCACGACTACTACTCACCACCACCACCACCACCCCACCACCACCACACTACTACCACCACCACACCACCAACCCACCACCACCACCACCACCACCACCACTACCACCACCACCACGACTACCACTACCACCACCACCACCACCACCACCACCATCACACCACCACCACCACCACCACTTACCACGACTACTACTCACCACCACCACCACCACCACTACTACTCACCACCACCACCACACTACTACCACCACCACCACCACCACCACCACTACCACCACCACCACACCACTACCACCACCACCACCACCACCACCACCACCACCCTCACACCACCACCACCACCACCACCACTACCACACCACCACCCACACCACCACCACCCACCACCACCACCACCACCACACCACCACACCACCACCACACTACTACCCCACTACAACCACATCACCAACCACTACCACCACCACCACCATCACTACCACTACACCACCACACACCACCACCACCACTACTACTACTCCCACTACAACCACTATAACCACAACCATCACCACCATTACCACCACCACTACTACTACCACTACTACCACTATCACCAAAACCATTACCACCACCACCACCACCACCACACTCGGGCAGGAAGGAACACACACACCACCACCACCACCCCACAAGACTTAGAGCAGTAACAACAAAAAAGGTAACAGCAACATTAGCAGCAGCAGCAGGAACACCAGTAGAGGCTACGTCAGGAGTAATGGCTGGCAGTAGTTGTAACAGCAGGAGGACCACAGCAGAGGCAGGAAGAACACAACAAAGGCAGGAAGAACACAGCAGAGGCAGGAAGAACACAGCAAAGGCAGGAAGAACACAGCAGGAGCAGGAAGAACACAGCAAAGGCAGGAAGAACACAGCAGAGGCAGGAAGAACACAAAGGCAGGAAGAACAGCAGAGGCAGGAAGAACACAGCAGAGGCAGGAAGAACACAGCAAAGGCAGGAAGAACACAGCAGAGGCAGGAAGAACAAGAAAAGGCAGGAAGAACACAGCAGAGGCAGGAAGAACACAACAAAGGCAGGGAAGAACACAGCAGAGGCAGGAGAAGAACACAGCAGAGGCAGGAAGAACACAGCAGAGGCAGGAAGAACACAAAGGCAGGAAGAACACAGCAGAGGCAGGAAGAACACAGCAAAGGCAGGAAGAAACACAGCAGAGGCAGGAAGAACACAGCAAAGGCAGGAAGAAACACAGCAGAGGCAGGAAGAAACACAACAGAGGCAGGAAGAACACAACAGAGGCAGGAAGAACACAACAGAGGCAGGAAGAACACAGCAGAGAGGAAGAACACAACAGAAGCAGGAAGAACACAGCAGAGGCAGGAAGAACACAGCAGAGGCAGGAAGACACAGCAGAGGCAGCAGGAAGAACACAGCAGAGGCAGGAAGAACACAGCAGAGGCAGGAAGAACACAGCAGAGGCAGGAAGAACACAGCAGAGGCAGGAAGAACACAAAGGAAGCAGGAAGAACACAGCAGAGGCAGGAAGAACACAGCAGAGCAGGAAGAACACAGCAGAGGCAGGAAGAACACAGCAGAGGCAGGAAGAACACAGCAGAGGCAGGAAGAACACAGCAGAGGCAGGAGGAACACAGCAGAGGCAGGAGGAACACAGCAGAGGCAGGAAGAACACAAGAGAAGCAGCAAGAACACAGCAGAAGCAGGAAGAACACAGCAGAGGCAGGAAGAACACAGCAGAAGCAGGAAGAACACAGCAGAGGCAGGAAGAACACAGCAGAGGCAGCAGGAACACAGCCGCTGGAAGAACACAGCAGAGGCAGGAAGAACACAAGAGAAGCAGCAAGAACACAGCAGAAGCAGGAAGAACACAGCAGAGGCAGGAAGAACACAAGAGAAGCAGCAAGAACACAGCAGAGGAACAGGAAGAAACACAGCAGAGGCAGGAAGAACACAGCAGAGGCAGGACAGCAGAGGCAGGAAGAACACAGCAGAGGCAGGAAGAACACAAGCAGAGGGAACAGGAAGAACACAGCAGAGGCAGGAAGAACACAGCAGAGGCAGGAAGAACACAGCAGAGGAACAGGAAGAACACAGCAGAGGCAGGAAGACCACAACAGAGGAACAGGAAAACACGCGTAGCGCGCGTAGCCGCGACTTACGCGCAGCCGGCGCACCAAGCGCAGCACGCCGTCGCACATGTTCTAGCAGGCGGAGTGGCAGCCGCCCTGTCCGTCGCGCCACGGCCGCGTCGCGTCGCCCTTGCACACAGCCTGCAGTTGCCCCACCACCCGCACCGGGAGAGCAGTGCTCAAGGAGTGAATGCTGCAGATGATGGCTCTCCTGGGTCATACCGGTGTGTGTGTGTGTGTCTGCTGGCTGGCCACGGCTGGTGCACACGTCCAGGTGCCGCCATACGGATGACAAGCAGCGCCCCGAGACACCTACTGAATCACAAGTCGTACTTTGAACACCCGGGTCCCCCCGCCCGCCCACACTCCACGCCTGGGAGGAAGAGCGTGGATGTGTGGCCTCCAGGTCCAACACGCCTCAACAACGCTAAAAAATTCTTCAACACTATTCATAACCGGCGTTTGAATACCCTGGATCTCGGCTCAGTCTGGGGAGGGGCCACAGGCTGTTGGTTCACAGGCTGGTGGTTGGGCTCACAGGCTGGTGGTTCACAGGCTGGTGGTTCACATGTTGGGAAGAGACTGCATGGTGGATCACAGGCTGGTGGTTCACATGTTGGGAAGAGACTGCTGGCTGGTGGATCACAGGCTGGGAAGAGACTGCTGGCTGGTGGATCAGAGGCTGGTGGATCACATGTTGGGAAGAGACTGCATGGTGGATCACAGGCTGGGAGGAGGCCGCAGGCTGGTGGATCACATGTTGGGAAGAGACTGCTGGCTGGTGGATCACAGGTTGGTGGATCACACGTTGGGAGGAGACTGCCGAATCACAGGCTGAGAGGAGGTTGGTGGATCACAGGCAGGGAGGAGGCTGGTGGATCACAGGCTGGGAGGAGGCTAGTGGATCACAGGCTGGGAGGAGGCTGGTGGATCACAGGCTGGGAGGAGGCTAGTGGATCACAGGCTGGGAGGAGGCTGCTGGATCACAGGCTGGGAGGAGGCTGCTGGATCACAGGCTGGGAGGAGGCTGCTGGATCACAGGCCGGGAGGAGGCTAGTAGATCACAGGCTGGGAGGAGGCTAGTAGATCACAGGCTGGGAGGAGGCTGCTGGATCACAGGCTGGGAGGAGGCTGCTGGATCACAGGCTGGGAGGAGACTGCTGGATCACAGGCTGGGAGGAGGCTAGTGGATCACAGGCTGGGAGGAGGCTAGTGGATCACAGGCTGGGAGGAGACTGCTGGATCATAGGCTGCATCTAGTGGATAACCGGGAGGGGACTATGATGAAGGCAGGGATATCCTGTGAGCACCCAGCAGACCAGCACAGGGTAGGAAGGTCCGCACTACACGCCTTGTCTCATGGGAATTATACACAGGTGTCGACGTTACACTCACACTACAAATGTACACACAAATGACTGAGTACACACACACACACACACACACACACACACACACACACACACACACACACACTGGGGGTTGGTCAACGTGTTGCAGCAGCTCAGCTACCTCTAAGTGTAGCTCACGAACACCACGGACACTACCGAACACCACGGACACTACCGAACACCAAGGACACTCAAAGGTTCGTACGATAATATATTTTCCTCCTAAGCTGCGAAATAAGATTGCAAAATGGCGTCTACAGTTACGATACGTAGTAAATCACCCTCCACACTCCCGACCCTCCACACTCCCCTGACCCTCCACACTCCCTGACCCTCCACACCTCCCTGACCCTCCACACCTCCCTGATCACCTCCACCCCTGACCCCTTCGCACTCCCCTGACCTCCACACTTCCTGACCTTCCACACCTCCCTGACCGCCCCCACACCTCCCTGACCTCCACACCCCCTGACTCCATACCTCTGACACCACCCCCCCACACCTCCCTGACCTCCTCCACACCATCCCAACACTACCCCACACGTGCGTCAACCAAGCCCTGTTTTATGATGTAATTGCTCAAGTTTAGTTTAAGAATTACAGTGAGATTAAGGGGCGGGGTGGAGGGTGAGGGGCGGGGTGGAGGTGAGCGGGTGGGAGGTGAGGGCGGGTGAGTAGTGAGAGATGGAGAGAGGTGTGGGATGGAGGGTGAGGGGCGGGGTGAGAGTGGAGAGATGGAGAGAGGTGTGGGATGGAGGTAAAGGGTGAGAGGTGGAGGTGAGGAGCGAAAGGTGATGGTAAGAGGTGAGGGGTGAGGAACGGCAAGGTGAGACGTGAGAGATGATGGGAGGCGGGGTGTGGCGTGAGGGGAGGCGATGATGGATGAGGAGAGGCAGGGTGAGGCGTGAGGAGCATGGGTGAGGGCAGAGAGAGAGAGAGAGGTTTTGAGTGTAGCAAGCAAGTAGCCAAAATGTACCTCATTTTGAACCCTCCATCACCCTCCATCACCCCACCCATCACCCCACCCATCTGGCTTGTTCATGGTGGGAGGCAAATGTAAGTGAATCATGTGATCAGGGGTGAGCAAGGGTCATGCAAAGGGCAAAGTGAGGCATATCGGGAAAAATAAAAAATAACGATGAATGTGAGAGAGAATATAAGACAAGAGGAGGGGGGGGAAGGAGGGGGGAAGGAGGGGGGAGCAGGGGAGGGGAGGCGGGAAGGAGGGAAGGAGGAGAAAGACGGAGGGAAGGAGGGAAGGGGAAGGAGGAGGAAAGAGAAATATATGAAGGACTAGTGAGAGAGAACCTAAAAAGAGAGAGAGAGAGAGAGAGAGAGAGAGAGAGAGAGAGAGAGAGAGAGAGAGAGAGAGAGAGAGAGAGAGAGAGGCACACATCACGAACAACAGCAAAAGTGGACGACAGGAGAAAAATAGAAGGAGTTTCACACAATGGAGAGGAAGGAGGAAGAGGAGGAGACGAATGAAATATAGATGGAAGACTCGTGTGATCCGCCTCCCTCATTCCTTCCTTCCTTCTTCCCTCCATCCCGTCCGTAGTGAGGAAGGGAGAGATGAGGGACAGATAGAAGACACGAAGGTAGGATGAGGGAAACAATGAAGGAGGTGAGGGAAGGAGGGAAGGTGTGGAAGGAGGTGTGGGAAGGAGGTGTGGGAAGGAGGTGGAGAGAACACGAGATGAGAGTGAATTACAGAAGATGCGATGAGAAGTGAGGGAAGAGGAGGGAGAGTGAGAAGGTGTAAGTGGGTGAGGGAATGCGAGCGAGGAAGGTGAGGGAGGGAGGGAGGAGGGAGGAGGGAGAGGGAATGAGGGAGGTGCAGCAAGTTGGGTAGTAATGAGTACCGACCGCCCCGACTCTGACATATTGTTCCCAAGCGGAGGAGGAGGAGGAGGAAGAGGTGGAGGAGGAGGAAGGGGGCGGGGAGAAGGAGGAGGAGGAGGAGGAGGAGCGTGTGGAGTAGGTGGGAGGGAGCAAGGAGGGAAGGAGAGTAGGAGGAGGAGGAGGAGAGAACAGATCAAGACAGGAGGAACTGAGAGAGAGAGAGAGAGAGAGAGAGAGAGAGAGAGAGAGAGAGAGAGAGAGAGAGAGAGAGAGAGAGAGAGAGAGAGAGAGAGAGAGAGAGAGAAAAGAGAGAGAGAGAGCCTGAAAAGATGTGCAAGGTGAGAGAAAACAAGTGAGAGAACACAGGTGAGAGAAGACACAGGTGAGAGAAGACACAGGTGAGAGAAAACAAGTGAGAAGACACAGGGAGAGAAGACACAGGTGAGAGAAGACACAGGTGAGAGAAGACACAGGTGAGAGAAGACACAGGTGAGGAAGACACAGTGAGAAACAAGTGAGAGAAGACACAGGGAGAGAAGACACAGGAGAGAAAAACAAGTGAGAGAAGACACAGGTGAGAGAAGACACAGGTGAGAGAAGACACAGGTGAGAGAGAAGACACAGTGAGAGAAGACACAGGTGAGAGAAACACAGGTGAGAGAAGACAGGTGAGAGAAGACACAGGTGAGAGAAGACACAGGTGAGAGAAGACACAGGTGAGAGAAGACACAGGTGAGAGAAGACACAGGTGAGAGAAGACACAGGTGAGGAGAAGACACAGGTGAGAGAAGACACAGGTGAGAGAAGACACAGGTGAGAGAGACACAGGTGAGAGAAGACACAGGTGAGAGAAGACACAGGTGAGAGAAGACACAGTGAGAGAAGAGACAGGTGAGAGAAGACACAGGTGAGAGAAAACACAGTGGGAGAGAAGACACAGGTGAGAGAGAAGACACAGGTGAGAGAAATATACAGGTGGGAGAGAAGACATAGGTGAGAGAAGACACAGTGAGAGAAGACACAGGTGAGAGAAGACACAGGTGAGAGAAGACACAGGTGAGAGAAGACACAGGTGAGGAAGACACAGGTGAGAGAAGACACAGGTGAGAGAAGACACAGGTGAGAGAAGACACAGGTGAGAGAAGACACAGGTGAGAAACACAGGTGAGGAGAAGACACAGGTGAGAGAAGACACAGGTGAGAGAAGACACAGGCGAGAGAAGACACAGGCAGAGAAGACACAGGTGAGAGAAGACACAGGTGAGAGAAGACACAGGTGAGAGAAGACACAGGCGAGAGAAAACACAGGCGAGAGAAGACACAGGTGAGAGAAGACACAGGTGAGAGAAGACACAGGTGAGAGAAGACACAGGTGAGAGAAGACACAGGTGAGAGAAGACACAGGTGAGAGAAGACACAGGTGAGAGAAGACACAGGTGAGAGAAGACACAGGTGAGAGAAGACACAGGTGAGAGAAGACACAGGTGAGAGAAGACACAGGAGAGAAGACACGGTGAGAGAAGACACAGGTGAGAAACACAGGTGAGAGAAGACACAGGTGAGAGGAAGACAAGGTGAGAGAAGACATAGGGTGAGAGAAGACACAGGTGAGAGAAGACACAGGTGAAAGAAAAACACACAGGTGAGGAAAACACAGGTGAGAGAAGACACAGGTGAGAGAAGACACAGGTGAGAGAGACACAGGTGGGGAGGAAGAAGGGAAGACCATATACTTAGGTGAGCTTAGGTGACACTCAGGTGTGGTGGAGAGTCACCTGGTTGATGGTGGTGGTGATTAAGGCGTCACAGGTGAGGTAGTGTATACTAGTGACGCTGGATGTATAGGAGGAAGGAAGGGAGGGTGTCACAGCTGGTGGTGGCGGGCTGATGGCAGGTGGTGGCAGCTGGCAGAGGTCCAGGGGTCCGGTAAAAGCCAGCGTGCAGGCGGCGATTAATATGATCGACAAAAGTGGAGTGAGGGTCCAAAATGGCGGCCCAGCTACTGCCTCTCATTAATAACACTGACGCGAGGTATTGAGGCGATGATCTCGTGATGTCCTCGCGGGGTACCTTGATGTCCTCGTGGGGTACCCTGATGTCCTCGTGGGGTACCCTGATGTCCTCGTGGGGTACCCTGATGTCCTCGTGGGGTACCTTGATGTCCTCGTGGGGTACCCTGATGTCCTCGTGGGGTACCCTGATGTCCTCGTGGGGTACTCTGATGTCAAGCTGTGTTATGAGGGTGAGGGTGAGGGGTAAGAGTGATGGGTGAGGGAGGAGAGGGGGGTAGAAGGGTAGAGTGATGGGTGAGGGGGAGGGAGGATGGGGGTAGAGTGAGGGTGAGGGAGGAAGGAGGGTGTAGGGTAAGAGTCACGAATGGAATGAGAGTCAGGACGAAGTGGGAGGCTTAGGGAGGTGGGGTTTAGATGGTGGAGGCCGAAGGGAGGAGGAAGAAAGAGGGGAGGAGGAAGAAGAGGAGGAGGAGGAGGAGGAGGAGGAGGAGGAGGAGGAGGAGGAGTCCTTGGGGATAATGGTGACCTGCAGTACCCGTACTGGGCCCTCCTCACCCCTCCGTCCCTCCTTACAGCTCGCTCCTCACGCCTCCAGAGAAAGCTCATTCCTGGACCCCCCCTCCTCCCTCACCACAACTACTACTTGCCTCTTGCACCCGTGATCCCCCTCTCGCCTCTCCTGCTTCACCCCTCAAGTCCCGAGGTGCACCTCGTGCTTACTCTCTCTACTCTCTCTCTCTCTCTCCCTACTCTCTCTCTCTCTCTCTCTCTCTCTCTTTCTCCTCTACCATCTCCAATACACCACCAGGATCTCACTTTCCTCAGTTCCCGCCCTTCAGAGACCCTGATGCACGGGGCGAAGGGGAGATGGAGAAGGATGGGGGAGAAGGAGGAAGAGTGAGGAGTAACGAGAAGGAAAAAAAAAGAGTTGGAGGGAAGGGATGAGAGAGGAGAAGGAGAGGTGGAAGCATGAGAGAACAAGTGAGGGAGGAAATAGGAAGAGAACAGAGGGAGAAAGAGAGGAGGAGGAGGGAAGGAAGATAGAGGAGGAAGAGTGGTCTGCGGATAGCTCTCTCTTCCTCCCGCGCTAAAAGTTATTTGGGTGTTAAATCTCTGGACAAAATATATCTTCTATCCAGTAGAGGAAAATGTGAAGCAGCTCTTGTACTATGACACTTGTTGCCGCCCCTGCCACCCACTACACCACCCCCCGCCACCCCACCACACTTCTGCCCCCACACCCACCAGCACCACCCCCCACCACCCACCACACCCCCCGCCACTCCACTACACTGCTCCCGCCACCCACTACACCACACCCCCTGCCACCACCACAGCACCACCCCCGCCACCCACTCATACCGCTCCCGCCACCCACCACACCACCCCACCACCCACTACACCACCCCAGCCACCCACTACACCGCCCACGTCACCCACCACACCGCTCCCGCCACCCACCACACCGCCCCACACCCACCACACCGCCCCTGGCCACCCACTGGCACACCCCGCCACCCACCACACACCGCCCCCACACCCACCACACCACCCCTGCCACCCACCGCCCCCTGCCACCCACTGCACCACCCCTGGGTCACCCACCACACCACCCCCCCACACCCACCACACCGCTCCCGGCCACCCACCACACCGCCCCAGCCACCCACCACACCACACCCCCCTGCCACCCACTACACCGCCCCCAAGCACCCACTACACCACCCCCCGCCACCCACTACACCGCCCCTACACCCACTACACCACCCCGCCACCCACTACAATCGCCCCCAGCCACCCACTACACCACCCCCTGCCACACCACCACACCGCCCCACACCCACACCGCCCCCAGCCACCCACCACACCACCCCGCCACCCACCACACCGCCCCCACACCCACCACACCACCCCCACACTCACACCGCCCCCGCCACCCACTACACCACCCCCTGCCACCCACTACACCCGCCCCTGTCACCCACTACACTGCTCCCTGCCACCCACTACACCACTCTCCGTCACCCACTACACCGCCCCCTTCACCCACTAAACCTCCGTCGACACCCTCAGTACCTCCCCCGCCCACCACACCACCTACACCCCCGCCCACCACACCACCTACACCCCCGCCCACCACACTCATATGTCCAACCCTCACCTCGTCCCCAGCTCGAGTGACCATCAAATTTCTCCTTGACTCTCCAGGTCAGGTGTAGGGGCGGTGAGTTTTGTGAGTCAGGTAGTGGGTGATTGTGAGTCAGGTAGTGGGTGATTGTGAGTCAGGTAGTTGGTGATTGTGAGTCAGGTAGTTGGTGATTGTGAGTCAGGTAGTGGGTGATTGTGAGTCAGGTGAGGTGTAGTAAGGGTGAGGCTCCTGGCTGGCCGGCGGCGCCCTCGTCTGTAATACCAACTCAAAAGCAGTCTTTGTAGCTCTCATAAGGCCCACTGATGTTTATAGTCGATTTAAAAGGGACGTTTCACTAATGGCTCCTCCAGTTGTGGATTTACAGCCCTGCCGTGCCAATAGGGCTTCAAGACGCCGTAAACTGGCCGCCGCTCTGATTCTCAAAAGTTTCTTGCATTAAATTCTTCCCGAAACTGGTGGTGATGTGAGGACGCTTTCAACTGTTTTACTCCTTATTCACGACACACAGCAGGGGGTGGCAACTGCGCCGGGAGTGTAGTGTGGGATGATGGAACTAGATGTGTTCTTTTGTGTCTAATTTAGGTGTCATGGAGAGCAGTGACGGGTGACAACAATACCATCTCATGTTGTCAACGTTTCACCGAGGCTGTAGTGGAAGGTAATGGAACAAGATACTAGGTGGTGAAAAAATATGACTCCAGGAACACATATAAGGCAGGGCGTGAAGGGCGACGTGAACGGCACAAACTTCCTCCAGATTGTAGAGATAAAAAAGGGAGTGTGGTGGGGTAGCTTGTGGCCAGTCCATGAAGAACAGTGGGGCGGGAGGATTGTTCCACCTCACATTTAACATCCAGATACCGACCACACGATCCAATTTCAACAACCGCCTGAAAATCCCCACGACTCCCGCCCTCCAAATCCCTCTCTAAAGTCAGAAGAATAGGAAGGACTTAAGGTCGACCCTCTTATTGAGCTGGGGCGCTATCTGGACCCTGGGCCCCCACACACTCACTCACTCCCCAGGCCAGGGCCAACTTGCCTATTGTGGACCTCTGGACCACCACACCTCCACCCCCCCACACACACCAACGGGCCACCTCCCTCACCATTCACTCCAACACCAAGTACACCTACACGCCCACAGGTGGAGAGAGAGAGAGA